ACTTTAAGGTAGTCTACCTCTGTTTGCTTCTACATTGGACTTCATCTGATGTAGCCCCTATTCCTTCCAGACCTCCGGACCTCCTGTCCCTTGTACCTCTGGGCATCCTGTCCTTTGGATGTTCTGCCCTCCGTACCTTTGGACATTCCATCCTCCTAACCCTCAGACATCCTGTCCTCTGTACCTTCAAACATCCTGTCCTTCATACCTCTGGACATCCTGTCCTCCTGTCCTTCGTACCTCTGGACATCCTGTCCTCCTGTCCTCCTGTCCTCCAGACCTTTGGACCTCCTATCCTTCCATCCTGTTTCCTGTAGAAGTATTACCTTGCAGTGGGAACTCTCCTGAGCACTTCCTGCATTCCTCCAGAACTCTCCTGCGCTCCTCCGGACATTTCCTGCGCTCCTCCAGAAGTCTTCTAGCGCTCTCCAGCAGAGTAGCCAGCCTCCGGAAGTCCTCCAGACTTCATCAGACCATCATCGGACCTCATATGAAATGAAGGGCACATACTCAGGTAAGGGGCACAGCGTACGAGCTGAGGCCAAGCCCCTCTGAGTCAGTCTCTCTCTCCTTTGAGCAACATGGTTCTTAACACATTTGCACAAAGATACATGAGTCCAGCACTTTTGTAGTGGTAAAACTGGATTTCTGTTGCTTGAATTGGAACCCTGATTGATGGCAGCATGCACTGACCATCATTGAATGGAATCAAGTGGAATGTTTCAGAATCTTTAAATAGAATTAAAGTACAATTTTTGAGGATGATGCATGGAATATTTGATCATCATTGGTAAAACCTGTTCATGCATCATCAGGAAATTGCGAGTTTACTTTTTGCCCACTAGTGTACAACTTTTTGCACAATGCAGTGGGGAAGTAGTGTGAAGGCAATAAAAGTGAAAGCTACTTTTTTCAGTAGATCTCTCAGCCCAAATCCAACTTATTTTCAACTTATTTTTGCAAGACCCACATAAAACGGCACAATAGGGAGCATTAAAAGTCAACAACATTAAAATAAGTAGTCCAAAAGTGCGAAAAATGGAGATGAAAAGCAGTATAGGAGTAGTTCACAAATGCAAATATTGAATGAAAAGACAGCTCAATTCAGCGGGGGGATGACAGGGAAGATGTGTTTGAATGTGTGGAAGCAGAGTCCAGAGAGTATGGAAATGATGGAGGACACTGGTGAAAACAGTAAACATCCTGTTGGACACATCAGTAGACTGCATGCCAAGTAAAAAAAACCCTTACAGAGCAGGGCACGCTTGCCCATAGGTTTCAGCTCCTCAACAGGAGCACTCTTGAGTTTTTTAGCTGCTTCCTGGCGCTTGCACACCAAGGTGATTATGTTGGCAGTGTACTTCACCCCTCGCCTCTTGAGGGACTCATAGTAATCAGATGTTGCTGAGCCACAGTTTGCCTCCAAAAAGGCTGATATTGTGGTGCTCTCTTTACTGCCAGTGTTGTTTTGCTTCAACACTTTCGGCTTTGCAGCAAAATTGCAGGCACATTTGAGCTGCAAAGATGGACCATCAATTGAAATCAAAAACTTTAGATGAGACCTACTGCAGTGGCACTTGCAGCAATTACAGCCTGCATACCCTTCACCTGCAGAGCACCCATGTTGAGTGCTGGGACATCAAGGAATCCAGCAATTGCATTGATGTGAGCAGATTCAATCAGTTCCAACATGAACACTGACTGGTAGATCTTGTCTGCGTCACGAGTATCTGGATCCTCATAGAGGAAGGCCCAGTTTTCGAGAAGGAATGTTGCCAGCCCCTGTTCATACTCAGTACTGTCATCATCATTGTCATCATTCTCCTCATCTCTAGAGGCTGCCAGAAAGTTCATGACAAGGGCAATGGCTGTTGATCTGAAATTGCTGTGCCAGGAACAAATGTGCTGATTCACCTTCAAATGAAGCACAATTTACAGTTAGAAAGACAGTGAGGATGTGAAAATAAATTCAACTTGGACTTACCAAGCCTATTATGGGACCTTTGGGTTGGATATTGTGATTGATTCCTGGAAACAAGACGTTGAAAATAGCTTGGAGTGTTGGAAGTAATTTGTTGGTTTTGATAGACCAAAATTTTGGCTGAGCACCCGCCCAAAGAAAGACTGTCAGGATAAATGTCCGGCGCCATGTGCCACCCTCCAACATAATTGGTGGGAGATCCGTGTTTCGCCATTGACTGCCAGTTTTGGGCTTTGTCGACATGTCAGCAGCCATCAAATCAGGTTCAGAGGACGCTGAAAGTACTGGTTCCAGTTTGGCTTTCTTGGGTGGGTTCGGTTTCTCAGCAACCATCACACCAGTCTAGCAGATACCTCAGTATCAAGAGAATAAAAAATGAACCAACACTTACCTTTGTAGTAGTGCACATTGGCTTGAGAACCTGCTCAACCTTGGCAGAGACTCGGATAAGCTCGTCATCAAGTAGCATAGGGTCAATAACACACTCGAACGTGTCACAGCAGTCTGTATCCTCCTTGGCAGCATCCTCACTGCGATTGGACACATATTCTTCAGACGATTCTACTATTTCAGCCTCATCAATTGTCCTCTTTGTGGATGAGACCCCGCAAGGCTGGGCTTGCTCTAGGGCAAACCTTACGATGTGTCATATCCACATATCTGGATCTCAGATCCAACCCTTATCTCATCTCAGATCCACATCTTATCTCCCTTCAACATCTCATCATCCAATCTGTTCCACTCGTCCGGTCCGGTCCACAACTCATCCGAATCCACAACCAGCGCTCGTCTCCTTTTGGTAACCCCCTAACTCCGGTATTTCGGTTATCTGTATATCTGTCCTGCTCCCTTATCCGCTACCTATGTTTCATTTCTGTTTCATGATTCGTGATCCGTTTCTACTTACCAATAGACTATCCACATGCTTCGTACATAGCCTTGGACTCTGCTGATTGATCATTCCGTTAGATACCTATAGTATATAACCTCCTGTAACTTTCTGTAGTACCTCAGTTCAAATATCATCTTAGTTCTGCTCATTCCTGTCCTCTGGACTTGAGTACCTCTACTCTTGTCACCCTCTGAGACTTAGGATTGATTCCTATAGTCTATCCGTATCTGCCTCTGTCCCCAACAGTCCATTACCATTAGTTTCTAGTCTGGACTCATCTGGATTAGCCCTATGATACTCATCCCTCATCCAGAAGTCATCTGGATCCGTTACACTACTCGTCTGACCTTCCGGACGTGCTAGTCTTGCCTTCCTGAAATAAGGGGCAATACTCAGGTAAGGGGCACAGCGCATGAGCTGAGGCCAAAGCCCTTCAGATCTAATTACCCTTTGAGTACGACCTTAACATGATGTCTGCTTGTTGGCTGTATGGCAAGAGATTGAATGCTATTGGTGCCAGTGGTGCTTCAGGCATTTTGTTGTCCGAACTTTTAGCAATCTGTACAACAGACTAAGACAAAATATCAGTGTGCCTCAGTTGAATTTCGATGTTTTGATGCCACAACTTACCTTCAGGCTTGCCTTGACCTTTCCATTAGTTATGAGTGCAAGTTCCTCAAAATTGTTATCTTCATCGTCATCGTCATCTCCATCTCTGTCTATGTCTCCATCTCCATCTCTGTCTCCATCTCCATCTACATCTCTGTCTCCAGCGTCTCCAGCATCTTCGCCTACGTCCCTGTCCCTGTCCCCATCTCCATCTTCATTGATGCTGTTGTTGTTGTTGTCGCCATCTCTGTCCTCTTCCTCGTCACCCTCTGAAGGTTCTGTCAAGGACAGAGGAGGGTCTTTTGCAAGTGAGATGGTGGTCACTGCAGTTCAGCTTGTCTTCAAAGTGGTTGCTGACAAAACAGAGCCACCTGAAAACTTGGATTCAGGTTTCGCAACAGGAGACACTTTTGACTTTGTCTCAGGTTCCAGGTGATTGCGCCAGTTGTTGATCTTGCCTGTCAAGCTAAATTTTTTACCTCTGAGCAACCAAGTAAGGGTCATAAAATGCAGTGTGGATTCTGTGAGCATCAAGATCATGATGGTGAGAAGATGAAATAACTGATGGTGCAGGACTTCCTTTCTTGTTGCAATCAGGTGCCTTCCCTTCGAGAATCTGTCTTGTTGCGGTACTGATTGCATCACGCATCAAGGAACCCTTCTTCTTTGGGGCAGCCTTGCTTCCAACCGCTTCACTACCTCCTGCACCTACACCACCACCATCTTGACCAATATGATGATCACCTGTACCTTGACCCTTGGCCTGCGCTGCAAGCACAGGCAGACTCTCTGAGGTAAGATCACTGCTGGCACCTTTCCCATCTGTCTTTTTTTTGACTGGCCTAGCACAAGGCCTTACCGGCTTCACCTTTTCAGTCACCTGAGTCGCCTGCTCCACCTCCATGGCAGCCTCAATACCAGCAATACGATTGATCCCACTCTGCTGAGTGGCTTCCAGGGCAGCCTGTGCTTCCTGGGCACACTGTTTGTCTTCCTTGATCTGGGCCTGGGTGTGTCATTTTCTTTTACCTTCTAGGAGCACATGTCCAGGGTGCTGTGTCTCATTTTTGGTGCATGTACAGTGAGGAGAGATGGGAGGTGCCATAGTGGATATGAAAGGCAGGCAAGGGATGTGGCAAAGGAACACAATAAAAGGTCAGTAAGATTTAGTCAAATGTATGCTGCAAATTTCCTAAATGCTGCAAATAAACAACCCTACAGTTACTAGCACAACTCAATACAATTTTCCAAGTCCACCTGCACTCACTACCAGTAGGTGCATCCACCTACACCACCCAATACCATCAACTCAAGTATCACACAGCTATTCATTTGACTCTATTGCTTCAGCACTACTTGAACTGGTATGTCGTTCTGGCTACTACTTCTGCCCAAATCTAACCATATTTTCAGCTAGCATCCACCCTTGGTTCCATGAATACCAACAACCGCCATCCCAGATCTAGTACTGGCTATCCTTGTTTTCCCTCGACTCCCAACACCATCAACTCAAACATCATGCCCCACCCACACCGAGTCCCCAGCGGTCTTGGCATCCCTTGCACAAAGCCAGGGTGCAATTGTTGGTTCAAGAATCAGTCTGGGCATACTCAGCATATGAATGCGAAGCATCCCGTCTTCTTACATCCACCTACATTGACACAACCATCTGTACCTCATTCACCAAGTCCAGCACTGGCCTCTGACATCATCAATTTTGGGGACATTGGTGGCACAGACCTTGGTGATGCTGGTCCCATGGATGACAAAGATCCTCTGCAATCATCAGCGGAGTTCTTTGGCACTGGTGAACAATTGTATAGAAATTACCACCCTCTTTTGTCTGGTAAGTTTTTGACTTGCTTTATTATTATTATTATTATTATTAATACGACATAATGTACTCAAAAGCTTGCCCTTGTGATGCCGAGGGTGCGTTCTTTCCACCAGGAACATCACCTCCGCCACTGACAGAAAAGGCACTGGACGACTGGACTCCCTACAAGAGCCATGTCAAGTTTGAGCTCGCCAACTACCTATTTACAAAGAACCAAACTCCTGCTCATTCAATTGACCACCTCCTGGACATTTGGGCAGCTTCCTTAATCCAAGCTGGGAGCAAGGCCACCCTATTTCCAGATCATTGCAATGTCTACAGGACAATTGACAATACTCCCCTTGGCGATGTCAAGTGGCAATCTTTTTCAGTCAAATATACAGGCACAATTCCAGATGAAGGCGCCCCACCCTGGATGGCAGATTCTCACAATGTCTGGTTTCGTGATCCCTGCGATGTTGTTCGAAATATGCTTGCTAACCCAGACTTGGCTGCAGAGATGGATCTCCAACCTTACCATGAGTTCGCAACAGAGAACAATGAGCGCCAATGGCAGGACTTCATGTCCGGAGATTGGGGCTGGGCTCAAGCAGTACATATTTCATCATTTTTATTGTGTGCAGTTTGACAAATGCATCTATAGGACATGATATCTAAGGACACTGACACACATGGCTCAACCTTTGTGCCGGTGATTCTCAGAAGTGACAAAACTACTGTTTCGGTTGCCATGGGACAAAACAACTATTACCCACTCTATGCCTCTATTGGCAATGTTCAGAATAATGTGCGTCGTGCTCATTGAAATGCTGTTGTGGTTGTAGCCTTTCTTGCAATGCCCAAAAGTAAGTGGTTGCTTTTTTTTATGTTCTATCCTTATTACATCTCCAACAGCAACCAAAGAGCATGCTGATACACCAGGCTTTCGAAATTTCCGACACCAACTTTTCCATTCTTCACTTTCATTTATCCTCAAGAACCTCAAACCTGCTATGACAAAACCGGAAGTTGCACGCTTTGGAGATGGCCATTATCAGCATGTGGTCTATGGACTTGGGCCCTATATCGCAGACTACAAGGAACAAGTGCTGCTAGCCTGTATATTACAAAATTGGTGCGCCAAGTAAGTTTTTCAATGATTGTTTTATATTTGTGCTTATACTGATTAACTCGAAGGTGTCTTTCACATCGTGGAAACCTTGATGAGATCAGTCTCAATCGCTCGAGAGCTCATGCAGATGCACTCATTGAGGAGTGCGATTTTGGAACCCTGCGGTTTGAGTACAGTTTAGTTGGCGAGCTTGTGGTACCTCGGTCACTCCATTTCACTTGTACTTAGATTCACTCATCAATACAGCCTTTTACAAACGATTTCCCCCATGCTGATATCCATGAGCTACTTGCGCCTGATCTTCTCCATCAACTCATCAAGGGGGCATACAAAGATCATTTGGTTGACTGGGTAGAGAAATACCTCCTGCAGATGCATGGAAAGAGGCAAGCCAACATCATTTTGGATGATATTGACCAAAGGTGTGTTTTCTTTCCATAATTTTCATTTAATCTCACTTTCATACTAGGATTTCGGCAGTTCCTCCATTTCCTGGACTGTGTAGATTCCCTCAAGGACACCACTTTAAACAGTGGACTGGTGATGACTCAAAGGTGCTTATGAAGGTAATTTACATATTCTTCTATACGAAATACTGTAGCACTAACTATGTGAAGGTTTACTTGCCTGCAATTGAAGGCTATGTCCCAACAGATGTTGTGCATGCATTCCACGCATTACTTGAATTCATTTACCTCATCCACCCCAATATCATCACCAAGAAGTCCCTCATCGAAATTCAAGATGCCCTCACTCATTTTCACACATATCATGAGGTTTTCAGGACCACTGGAGTGGTCTCCACCTTCTCGCTTCCCCAACAGCACTCGATGACTCACTATGTCTATCTGATTCGACTATTTGGCGCTCCAAACAGCCTATGCTCCTCAATTACAGAGTCGAAACACATCAAGGCTGCCAAAGAGCCATGGAGACATTCCAGTTGGTACAGGGCACTAGGCCAGATGCTGCTAACTAATCAGCGTCTGGACAAGTTAGTGGCATCACACATGGACTTCTGTATTTGTGGGATGCTCTCAGGCACATGCTTATCCTCTGTTCTCACATCACTTGGTAAGTTTTATATTTTCTACCTTCAAATTTCAATGTTGACCTTTATCACTACTAGAACCACCAGCAGACGGATGACCCACTGTCCCCTCTGCACAAGGCAGTGCAGAAGAGCTTGACGTTCATGAAGAAGAACCCAGCACAGCATGAAGTGCCAGTGTGCCTGACGCTGATGTCATTGCCAACTCTGAGGACATTGATGCACCGACTTCCATCCTTGCTCATGTAGAACTCAGTCGAAGGTCTTGTAAGTTATTTTTTGTGCATTCCGAAATAGTACTAGCTAATTACATACTAAATAGAAGGGAGAAAGCAGGCACAAAGTGTTCCTGTGCTAGCCAGCAAGCTTCACATCCCACACTTGGTCGATCTTGTCTGACAATTCCTCACTGAACAATTGTATCCAGACAAGGAACTCACTGAAGTGCCTGTGAGCATCATGGACTGCCCTCATTTTGATGGGAGGATACGTGTTTTCAATTCTGCTGTATCAACATTCTTTGCACCAAGTGACTTGAGTGGTATTGGTGGGATGAAACGCGAGCACGTTTGTGTGTCCCCCAAATGGAGAAATGGACATGCACACAAAGATTGTGTGTTTGTCATTACTGACCCAAATGCTCACAGAATGCGGGGCATGGATATCGCTCAGGTACTCACATTTTTTTCCTTTTGACTTAGGGGTGTATACTATCCATGCGCTGTTGTCCACTGGTTCAACTGAGTTGGCGATGCACCCAACAACGACACCGGGATGTGGATGGTGAAGTCTTCTTCCACTGGCAATTACGTGTTTGCAGTGATCCATGTGGATACCATCTTCCGTTCTGCCCATCTCATTCCTGTCTATGGTACTGATCCGCTTCCCTCCGTGATCAAACCCCACCATGTCCTCGAGATCTTCACCCTCTTCTATGTCAACAAATATGCCGACCATCACGCCTTTGAGATAGCGTGTTAGCACTTTCCAATGTGACCATCATTTTCTAGTACCTTTCATGCTTTTTCCACGTCACTTACTTTAGGGATTCTCGCTCACTTATATACAACTTCTCACCTTTTCCCGCTTTTCCACTTATTTTGTGCCCTTTACTTAATTCAATGGCACAAACTTTTCAAGTTCGAACAAATAGTGATGATTATTATCGGATTGTGCGAAAAAGCACGAAAAAAGTTAGAAAAGTAAACTGATGATTTACTGATGATGGTGGGACTTGTTTCAAGAATCAACACCACGTGCTCGAGAGATTCTGTATCACTTCCGTCAGATATCATGCCATGCAGTTATCAACCCAATGCCGACCAATTACAGAACTTCCCTATATCTAAGCTGTGTATGACAGAGAAATAGACCAATCATCCATCATGATGGCAACACAAGGCTGTGCAAGGATCAAAGAAGCTTTACGAACTGCCGGGAATAATAAAGTCACTACTGCACCGTGTGGTAATCGAGAAATGTTGATGGATATTCTCTTCTGTCATTAGATCATAACACATAGTCGTACAACAGGTGAATATTGTGGTTGACGTAAAGTGCTTCGGAGGATAGCACAACCACAATTGCCCTTTATATTAGAATGCCACAATCATGATGAAGGTCCAAATAACACACAATAGAACTTTTACTATGTACAGTGCGCAGTGATTGATCGTTTCCCTTGCTACACACTACCAGTGCCGGTTGATGCATCTGATGCGTGTCCATGTGCATGGAAATCCATTGTAGTGAAGTAAGTTCCTTCGTCGGAGCTCGCCACAAGCTGAGCATGATATTCTCGAAGGCTAAGGATGAGACGTGGTCCCAGCACAAACATTTGCATGGCCTGGGCAATTTCGCCAATACCATAATAAAAACTGACTCCCACAGAAAAGGACTTCAGAAATGATGAGCAGTATGCAGGTAACAGTCACCAATCGGCGCACCGAGAGATTTGGAGACAGTGTGCCGAGGTTGAAGCAAGACACGGCACCAAAGCTAGCACATCCAGAACTTCAGCAAGGTAACAATATCAAAATCACTTGAACTCACGCTACGAAGTACAGCATATGACTCTTCATTAACACCGTGAAACAGTCTCTAATGTTCGCCCCTGTCGGTGATTTTTGCAGTTCACGGAAGTGCTTGATAACGATCCAGACTGCAAGACACAAGGCAAGGATCTCCCATACAGTGGTGGGTACCGCAGTTTCGGCATTCAGACGCGTGTCCTCTGCGCTCATATTTTCGGAACACTGATGGATGCCAGAAAGGATTTGCTCCACTGATATTCATGCATGAGTCTTGAGGATTTCATTCATAATTTAGGCTTACCTCCTGAAACACCAATGTTTCCTATCACCACCATAATCACAGAGGCAATCGTACAAGCCAGTAAGACTACAAGGAGAAAGATGAGTATCCTTTTGGATCCCTGGTACATAGCATGTATCCGGGTTGTCATGATGACTTGCAAAAACTCAGCCAAGTTAAAATCATTAGGTACCGTACTCACCTCCCAGCATGGCATTGATTATGATGGGCGTCCATGCCTGTATGAACCAAACAGTGTTGCCTGACAACCCAGTTACGATGTGCATTGTTTAATTAAATGTTTCGATTCAACTCACAACTGTTAAAGTCGTTAACTTGAAGACAAAAGCTGGCGGAGAATATCACTCACCCCTGTGTAGGGGTGCAGTTAGTAGTTGAATGGGAACGGCAGGCATCGGTGAAGAAGACCCACTGCATCTGTAATTGATATTTGGAAATTCGCTGCATGCCATCAGTCAGAAGAAACGAACATATGTAGGCACACATACGCAGTATGTAGACGCTGGTTGTAAGAGATGGCTCATTAGTACAGTGCGATATCATCTAGTTAGCGTTGAAAACACACATTGAAAATAGTATTCCAGTGTAACGAACCTAGCATATGGTAAAGTCAGCACAACTTGGAAACTGCGTTTATGATATCAAATACGCACGCAAACATAAAGAACATTCATGAGAGAGCAGCGTTGCCTCTGCCCCAAATCAACTACAATATCCAGTTTGTTTCTGATATAGGACTTGGCTCACCCATATCAGTTCGAACTGTCAAAGCATTCTTAGCAAGATGGCTGTATCGGTTATGGTACCAACTTGCCTCTTGTGCGAACGTCAGTACTTGAAAAAAGTTTAGATCAATGGTCCCCTCTGAAAGTATTATCTTGCGCACCCCAATCATAGACCACCGCGGTCAAGGATGCAACTGTGAAACACGGTCAATGGCACTGAGATATCACTAATATCATGAGATGAACCTATAAAATAGTTGTAACTACGACTCCATTCGAGATACGGCCAATTAGAAGGATCGTTCGAGACGTAAGTCATATTGGGGGACTTGGTGAACGAGTGTTTGTGCAGGTATTCACCACCCAGCGTTTTTATGGTGATCAGGCTAGATACACGTTCTTAAATCAGAACCTTGATTGACTGCAGCAATTGTCATACGAAATCAAGTAGAACGGGAACGGTGTACGAGAAGCCATCAGTTGAATCTACGTACGTATTTTTCGAATCTATAACATGCGAAGCAATAGAACGTGTTGCCAAGCCGTTCTCGAGGAAAGTTTCGCATCCGTTCCATCAGTGAGAACGTAGTCGCCAACCAAACGCAAAGCAAACTGTAGAACCTTAGTTATGCAGGGTAGAAAACGAACCTTTCATAATGGTGATTTTCGATGATCAAAATAATCTTTGCGACGATCAAGAGGCAGACTGCCGTCGGGAACAACCGAGTCACTGTCGACTTCCGCGCAGGCACTGGGGAATATTGAGAAATTTTCCTTTGCACCATACGGTCATAGGCGGCGACATACCATCAGCGTGATTGGATGTGTGCAGTTTAATCCCTCGCAAGTCTCGAAGAACTCTGCTTACAAGTCAATTCCCCAAGACCGAGTAGAGCAAAGCACCTTCGGAAGTGAGGTCATGTGTAACAGATGCTAATTCACCGTGGGTGGTGAGCCTGTGAACAGAATCAACCAATGGATGAGTGGGCAGTGGGCACTGGTCGAACATGAATTCTTCGGTCAAATACGGGATGATTGTGTCTCATTGGACGCAGATTCTCCATTATGGCTGGACGCGCAGACTCGGCTGAAGCGATCGAATATGTGTGGACATGATAGAACGCCATATTGGAGAGATAGTGCGACTGAGAGGACATACGAGCTCGACGAGGAGGACCCATGGTAGATTTGCCGGAGCAATTATAGCAGCTAGTGAATGTATGAAGCCACGAATACACCACTTCACCCATCTAGAGAGATCAAACAGAAAAGAAACAAACCTCTTGTGCTGATCCGAAATAATCAGACAGAACGTAATGGCGAAGTGCGAAGACAATAGTGAATTGCTCTGCAACATGTCATAGACTATGAAGCTGGAGCACTGAGCTGCAATGCTTCTCGTGCAGCTTCCCTCTTCGCGGCCTGCAGCGTCCACATCCACTTTAGATCACGTTCAACCTTTTCCTTCCTCGCGCGTTGCCTTCGCTTGTTCAAATGACCCCAATCTTCCCCAACACCTACGTCGGCTGCCGTGAGCCGAGGCAATCCTAGTAATTCCGACTTTGAGAGAGTAGAGGCGGGCAAGGGCTTAGGTGGAGGAGGGGGTGTCGTCATTTTCCACAACCAAGTATTTCTCGGTGCAGTGAGTAATACAGCCTGTTCCTTCCGCGCAGCTTTGGTCACCGTCTGAAGCCGGTGGTCAATTTCCGCTTGCGAGAGCGTTCGCTTGGTGCAGAACTTTTCGACCTTCTTCGAATTTACTAGGTCCGGAAGCACCACTCTCTTCAAATACCTGTGTCATGAGACTGAGTACGTCAACCAAGGCCTATATTAATGTCAACTCACTGTAGAGACCGTACGGGATGCTCTGGATGGGGAGGTCGAGTAGAAGGTTGCCTTGTTATTCCACGCACGATAGTTGGATGCTCTTTCTTCGGCACACTATGCTCTGGCAACTTATCTGAGATAATTTGGATCGCTGTCTGTTTCAAAGCCAAATTGTAAATGTCCTTGGTTGACAATGGCGTTGTCGATGAAGCAACTATATTGCGCACGAGCTCACGCGCTGAAGGCAAGCAATGGCGTGGCCACAGGTTTTTTCGAAATGAAGGAATGGCAGCCATGATTTTGACGTGCAAGAATTGCGCAAATTCAAGTTGTATGAACTCCAAGTCAAACTTCTGCTGACTAAGATTGGTGGCGCTGCAAGCATCTCCGAACAGCCCTGAACCCGTTCTGCATTTCATTTGTATGCTGTAAGTACATGATATATACGTGGATACTATCCGGCTCAATTCAAGTACAGATACGCTTGGGTAGAAATATTGGTGGTCAATCACCGGTGCACCATTTCCCGCCCCGGTGCGAACTGCAAATGCAAACAAGGATCAGCATCGGAATCGACCATAAGTTGATGACGTGGTGATGCACCAGATTCTACTAGCAAGGGCGGCCATCAGAGAACCTGTGAGAAGAAGATATCGTCATATATCGTAATATATAGGAAAGGTTTTCGTCACATTGGAATATAAAGTGATATAAAGCAATATATGACTATGTAAAAGCACCATAATCAGCATAATCCCCAGCAAGAACTCACCGGTTTACTGATGCACTCAAGGCCTTTCAAGTTATCGGGAATGCAATTCCTCATGACTTTCATGTCGAGAAAAGCACTTTTGAAAGTCAAAGCTGCCAGTACCATACCGCACGCCACGAATCACCTTTGCTCGAGAATGTGCCATCGAAACTTGTTGTATGTTTTTTGCGCTTTGAATTTTGAAGGTTGCCCGTCTGGAGCCGCTTTGGCTATAATTTTGAAATCTGATTATTGCAGCTATTTGCATAAATAATGGAAGTATACTCGCTTCTGGGAGAACTGCATGCAAGGAAATGGTAGATTTATGATGGGGGGGGGGGGGG